TCTCGACTCTTGCTGGAATTTCGTCTTTAATATTATGTGGAAAACCTTGAACAAAAACTGGCACTTCATTCCGAGTAAACAGTGGCAGCGACTGAATAGAAACCTGATGTCTAATATACAACCACCCTGGGAAAGTCAAAATCCATTGCTTTCCCATCTCTTCCAGTTGTTGCCTTCTTAAGTGTATTATTCATAAAATTAGCGATTTAAAAATGCATCGAAACATTATTCTTTATATTCATAGCGTCACTTTAAAAAAAATGGTTAAAAATCGATTTGCTGGCCTCTTGGGGAAATGCTGTAATGTTTTTGGCTGTCTCCTACTTTCTGCTGCCAGCTAAAAGTACCATCTGGCTTGTTTAGGGCCCTTTTCCATATCAGGTGCTTCCAAAATTCTCCCCAACCAGTGGATTGTTTCGTTGGGTTGCTTCGCCTGCTGAGGCATGTGTCCTGGGCTGGGAATCCTACTGCTTCTGTTCCCTGCCATCTTGCTGACGGTGGTGTGTGTATGTTTGGGCACGGATCTTGCTGCCTCTCTCCCGAGGACATTTGCATCATTGTCAGCTGCACATATTAAATTGATATGCAGGGCTCAGAAACACGTATCCCATCTTTTGTCCCTTTGTTTGTGCAATTGTTGTGGGTTTAATTCTTCTTTGACACCTGGAATATCACAAAGCTGCTGATAATCTGTTGGCTACTAAGGGGAAATGACATTGATAGAAGGATAATGTGTGTCAGACTTATATCTCGATAATTGCAGACACACCCCGAGCCCTCACAGCTCAGGGAATGAATATCCTAAATCCATTATTAATTTGGAGAGTCATATGTGGCAGTTGGCTGCGGTGTCATCCTCTCACTGCAAGAGTCACTTGCAAGGGATTTTAAGGCAGTTTTGGTTAATTCTGCATTGCTGTGTTGAGTTATGCCTAATAACGAGTCGATTTTGGTATGTTCTTGCTGCCATTTCGTGGCAGCGTGAGGAGCTGTAATAAAATGGGGTGGAAGTCCTAACTCCTCACTGAAGAAAGACAACTTCCCATGTGTCTTTTCCTGCACAAGAATACAATCCCAAGGAGCTGAGAACCGATGCTCTATAGGTGGTACTAGTTGACAGTGACACCTCCTCCTCAGGATTCTTTGTCTTTCCAATTTACTGGTTTGCTTAGAAATAGAAATTCACCCCCCAAAGCATTTATGAGTAGATTTGAAGCACTGTAGTTGCTAAGTATAGCCTTGATGTGATCGTATGGAAAGAGGGAGTACGTTTTGGAATAGCTACGGCCGTGAGCTATCTTGTCCTATTTCGAAAATGATCTGTGCCATACCCTGCTGACTTTTCCTGTCCATCCATTAAAAAGTGAATTATGAAGAGTGCTGAGACAAACAGATAGGAGTTTAACCTTGTTAGTAAATATCAGGTAGCTGATACATACTGCTAGAATGTTACATCACAGCCTTGCTCTTCAATATAAGTTTATGAAATTATCTTGTTACTATATAAACTGCCTTGGCTGGGTACATTCTTCCAGAGGGTTATTGTTCGCTGGATGTTGGCACAGTAGCATGACTCCAAAGAGTCAGTTCATGATGTGGTGAATTTTAAAGACTTGGGAGATGGCCATATCTATTTTTCAGCAAAGGAATGAAAGCTTTTCTCTTTTTTCTTTTTTTTTCCACCCCCTAAGGTATTAAAAGTTTCAAAAGATGTGCTGAAATGAAAAGGAAATAATAACTAAAGTCTGGATGGGAAGTAGTGCCTCAGAGTACTGAGTTTGCTTGTTTGCTTGTTTCCCCCCAAAATCTTAATATTTTAACTGCAAGTTAATATTTTAAATCAAATGAACCTGTTCTGTGAACTAGGAGGATTCTTGAACTATATCACACATTATTCATTTATTTTTGTGTGAGTGCAATAAAAATTTTACAAGCTGTAATCTTGTTCTTTTAATAGAGAGTAAACTATGCAGAATATGTTGCTTAGAGTATTAGATAAGCTGCAGTATGTTAATCAAATATTTTTGTGATATGAGGGCAGTTGAGAAAACAGTACAATTTTTGCTAATGGCACTGGTAAGTAAACGGATCTATCATTACATTGTCATGAAAAGTGACATTGAGCAGAAACACCCTGCCAATCCCTAGAAGATAAGTATTTAATGTAATTAGACAGACACTGTCTCCTTTGTTGAACATAGCATTAATCACCCAGAGAAGTCCAACTTTATATGAAATGGCTTTTTCTGATATGTCTTTGTATTAGAAAGCTTCTTACACAGTTTTGCCACGATGATACATTTGAAGAAGTGACTGCTATAGCTATGCAGGTTTACCCATGACATACCTTGCTGTTCTGTGTTCCATAGTATTTATTTATTTTTATTTGGCAATGTTGCATTCTATAGTTGTGACTTGTTCCTAAGCCTAAACCACCGTGCAGTCGGAGCTGAACCTCTTTGAACCAGTTTAATGCATTCAACTTATGAAATATAAAAGCAGCACAAATAGCTTCCATTACCTTCTTCAGTCCTTCCTATGTGGTGTTAGCACAGGTTCGTTGTTACGGCATAAGCAAAATGTTTCTTGCCTCAAATGCTAGTCCATAATATCACACACAAAAAAAAAACCCCAACAATGTAAAAAAGAACTTCTTTTTATGCAAACCTCATTGTTAAATGGATGAAAAATGTTGCCCCCTTCCAGAATTCATTGGCACTACATTTTTTTTTACCCCTCTTTTTTTTTTTTTCCTCTCTCCTCTGTTGCTTGTAATTTGTACTGTGAAACGCTGTCTGGTTATGAACTGGTATCAATTTGAGTCAGTGCACAGCTGTGTCTTCCCACCTTCTCAGTGGTGCCGAGGGCTTTGAAGGGAAAGAATAGGGTTTAGTCAGAGATGACAGGAGACTTCACCGGGTAACAGGTGGAGGTCAAGTCGGTTTATTTGTTGGGCTGAACAGAGTGCAGAGATGAAAAATCTTTGCCATAATAAGGTTTAGGAAGAAAATGCTGACTAGTCTAGGCTTTGATTCCAGCTGACAGATCCTTTTCTAGTGTTCATTACTTGATTTCACAGTTCAGGCAATTTTAAGAGGCTTAAAATGATATTTCTGCTCTCCTCTATAAAACTTTTCGATCACTTTCTAATTTTTGCTTTAAGTAAAGTTGTAGGGTCTCCCTGATATATCACTCCTGCCTGTAGACTCTTACAAAGTCAATATGCCATCAAAAATGTAAGGATAAGCTTTATTTTTCAGACCCCTACTTTTACTGATTCTTTTAATAAACGAAGTAAAAAATTTCACATGTAGGCACCAATTCGATTAGGAAATCAAAACTTTCTAAAAACTCCCCTGAAAAGTGGATAGTAAAATAAGCAGGATGCTTAGGAAGCCACTGTTCCTGGCTGGGAATATGGGATTTTTGTGTTACTGGTGACAGCATTAATGAAGCTGCGCCAGCCCAGTGTGCCGAGTTTCAATCACCAAGTGCCGGTGAGCCGTGCTCCATCCTTAAAGGGAGTCACAGCAAGACCCTGGATAATCAGAGCAGAACGTCCTGACATTGTGTGGCAGTGCTGGGACTGGGATGACCTGTCGGCATCGTTGCATGTCACTGCAGCACCACAAAGGGATTTCAGAGGGCTGAGCTGCGAGGGTGTGGGTCTCTCCAAGGTTAGCCTCCTGCCCTTCCCTGTGCCAGCTGCTGGAAGGGCCATGGAGGCATTTCTCCTTTCCCACCCTTTTTCTTCCACTACCACCACCTGCTTCCTACCTGCTGGAGTGGGTAGAATAGGATTATCTTTAGCCATTTGCTAAAATCTTCCCCCTCAGACTTTCTATTACTTCTGCATTCATTCTTTGCAGGAAGAGGAAACTCACTGGTCAAACCCTTGGACACCAGAATAGTTGCATGCAGTTTCCCAGGGAGCCAGATAGCTCTAAAGCTTCCCAGTGAGTGACAGTTTCTCTCTTCTATTCTTCTGAAACATGTGTTTTACACATATACTGAAAAATGTTAATATCAATTTACAGCCAGATTCTTGCTTTTATATATATATATATAAAAAAAAATCAAATCTCCCAAAGTATTTACACTTAGAGCACCTCAGCACACATGTCACTTTTTTTACATAGGAAAAAGTGTTGGATGCTCTTATACACATAACATCATTGGGCTTGAAAGCTGTTAGCTCATTCCGAGTTAGTGGCAAGAAAGCTGGACTTGCCAGCACCAAACTGTGAAACCTTTTCTGTGTGACTGGTAGAAATCTCATGGGGGTAGAAATCCAAAAAAAAGGGGAGGAGGGGGGATGTAAATCTGTGCATTTGGATTTGAGTAGCTTCAATACCATGATATCAACTTTGTCCTAGAAGTCCTTGAATCACAGATCATTGGGAGAGTGTTTTGGAGAATTATCACTGTATGCTTTCCCTGGTCTTTTACTCTTTTCTAGGCATCCATTAGTTCCCACTGTCAGGGAGAGGATTCTGGACTAGGTGGATCCCTGTAATCTGATTTGGCATGGCTATTTTTCTGTGTTCCTAAGCTCATGAGATCAAGTTATGTAGGATTATTTCATAATGCCAGAGCAGCAGTTTCTGAGGTTGGACAAAGCTATCTAGCAAAGTGTCTGATAAAAGCAAAATCCTGTCCCATACTGTAGCTTTCTTGGTCCAGTGAAGCAGCATCCTCATGCATACAAATCTTGTAAAGTTGCTTCTGATAGCTCCCTCTGTCCCTTCGTTTTCGTAAGCTAAAGTGCCATTTTCCTTTTTACAGCTTAATTGAACCTAAATGCACCCATTTCCTGCAATGTGGTATTTTGGTAATTTTACTATTTGCTCCTAAGTTTTCCCTTAAGCAAACTGAAAGCTTCCCCTTTATCACTTCACTGGGCCAAGATTTCACACAGTATCCTGCTTGCTACAAAATATGATAGTGTTCTCTCTCACCTTGTTTCTTTTTTCTTCTTTTACTTTCTTTTATAAAATCAGGATATCTAAGAAACCCCGAACACCGCGGAGCACTACATGGTGGGTGTGCTTATTCAAACAATGCCAATGCTCTTGTTCTCGGTGCACAGACATTTTGTGTTGGTTGGGGGGGGATGTACCAGGTGTCCCTCTCGTGTGGATTCTCCGGTGTCTAGTAAGGACAGAGCTTATGCTGAGCACTTTGCCAGAGTGACAGCGCTGGAGGGAGCACTTACATGTCACCTCTGCCCTTTCCATGCCTGTCTTCATGGAACTTGCAGGGAGATTTTCCCTGCCAGCCCTCTGCCTCTCTGTCAGGTGTGTTTTCATTTGCTCAGTGGATGAGAGAGGTATGGGGCAGATCACATGAGCAGACCCGCAAGGGGCATGGCCATCCACAGCTCCTCTGGAAACGATGCCAAAGCCAAACTGCTGTGCTCTGCCTCCCACCCAGAACGCAAAAGCCACTGGGAATGCAGAAAAGTGAGGCTGATTTCACCTGTCTGATATCACCTGCCTGAGAGCTGATCTGTTGGAAAGCAGTTTGAGTCTCTGCTGCCTGGTGCCAGGTCCCCAGTGCAATTCCAGTGGGTGCTCCCCGGCGTGCAATTGGAAATGGACACTTCCCAGTAAAGAGCACAGCAGCTATGTATATCTGGTGTTATGGAGAAATGAGATGACTGCTCAGTCCTGTGACCGTCAAGCCCAGGCAGTCAGATGGTAAAAATACCAAGAACCACTGGATAGCAAAACATAACAGTTCCATGAGTACACTCTTGACCTGTCAAATTATAAACCCGTTGGTACAATGCACACGAATTCAGTTTGCAACTCTTTCTTTCTTTGGAATAGCCTGTGAACTCTTCACCTCAAATTGTGCAGAAATAAGGTGACTTTACAGCCTGTGGTAAATTACCTGAGCTATTTTCAATCCTGACCACAGCTCTTTTAATCAAAACACATGTTCAATAGCAATGTACACCGATTAAGTCTTCAAAACCAATATTAGCACCAAACTTAGTCTTGTCATCATAAAAGTCATTTGAAAACATTACCACGCAGTAACTGAGGTCACAAGTCGAAAAAATCTGCATATCTACCCATCTCCATCTCATGCCTGGGGCGTTTAGCAGCCATCATTGTTACACACACCCTGGGTAGCCAATGATCGTTTGATGACATGCAAATAATGAGCGAATGATTTTTGAGAAAATAAAATAAATGCATTAAAAAACTCCAGAAAATTTGACTCCCTACTCTTCAGTTACTAAAATTCCCTTTAGTATCACTTGCGATTTAGGATCCATATGCATCTCAGGAAGATATAGTTGAAACATAAATCTATTCTGGGTCTTTTACTTGCAAAAATATCATACCTCAGCTATAATCATATGCAAAGACTTTTTAGAGGGCTTTGTAAATGCCATCCAAATTTATGATGGCATTTTTTGCCTTGCAGCTATAGATGTTCCATCCCCAAAGCACCCACATAAAGGTATATTCTCCTATGGATGGCTGCAGTTTGTCCCTGCTGCTATATCTAATCTGCCAAGTATGCTGAAAAACTCTCAAGTAGCATTTGAAATGAAACAAATGTAGTCATGAATTTTAGACGAGATGTCTAAAGACGTCATTAGGCTTTTTTTTTTATTCCTCTTGCAATATATATTTATACAATGCAGAATGATGCTGAAGCTAACATTAAATCAAAGAGAAAATTGAACTGTTATCTTGCTGTTTATTATGCTTCTCATTAAAGTTTTTATATATAAAACTCATGACATTATATTTTGAAGAAATTGGTAAGATGTTGAGTACTAGTTTATTAGTTATTGAAAGAACTGCTTGGGTGACAGAG